AGGTGACTTATTTTTCTTAGCTATGCAGTTGAAATAAAGGACATTTTGTAAGCCAGAAAAACAATACAAACTTCATGGATAGGCCCACACCATGTTTCAACATTTACATCCAAGATTTTCAAGTTTGTAAATCTGGAATAGAGCATAAATAATGGTCTTTTGATATAAAATAAAATACTTATCTAGGGTGGGTTTGACTTCTCTGAACCTGAGGCAACAGATGGAAGAAAACAAGTGAAGTGGGTTTGGGAGAAGTGAAAGCCATGTTTCATTTCCTGGTCACTGACTTGATATCTGGGCCCTGCGCTCTTTCCTATTCACAGTATAATATAAATATGAAAATATAAATTGCTATGTAAGTGCAGGATAATAAATTAGAATCTCAGCTGTAAACAATGAACCTGAGGGGTGATCAGAAAATTATTTGCTGTACATGCTAGAATCCTAACCCAGTGTCCATCAGTGATCTGCTGTCAGGTACTGAAACTTCACTGTTCTGTTATTTTCAAGGCAGCTATTAGAAGCAAGGTACTCTGAATAACAAAGTAAGGAGCCATAATAGAGTGCAGACAGCTGAGCAGAGGCTGAGGCAGGCTCTGTGTAACAATATAAGGAGTAATAATGAGGTGCGAAAATCTGAGAGCAAGCTGTTCTTGTATGGATTAGCAGGCACACTTAAATCAGCTTGAGTGGTGCTTTTAATATTGAAATCAATGGGATTTGGCAAATGCTCTTGTCAGCTGCATGATTCAAATGGCTGCTTGTTTTACCTGTTGGCATCTTAAATGACTTGTACTGTGTGTATAACCAAAGAAAAGCAGCTCCTGTGTTCCCAGACCCTGGGCTCCCATTATTACAGGTCTGAGCTACACTACGTAGATTTTTTTCTGGCAGAACTTCTGATTAATTGCAAGATGCTATTAAGGCAACCAAACTACAGGATGGCATTTGCTAAGCAAAATGATGATTTGGTTGAAATAACAACTTGGCTATCATTCTTTTTGTGTGTTTAAAGGTTCTAGATCGCCCTGGAAATTATGTTGAGCCAACAATTGTGACTGGCCTTCCTCACAATGCACCCATTGTGCAAACAGAGACATTTGCTCCTATTCTCTATGTGCTGAAATTCAAGGTAAGACTTTACTTAAGAAGCGTTAGTCTATAATTTGTTTTGGTACTTTGTGCACCTTATGTATGAAAGGTAGAAAAAGAGTCGGAAGAAAAAAATAATTTTATTACATGGCTTGTTCATCAAACCAGTATGTTAATTCAGGAAACAGTGTAGATTAGCTATTGATTATTGTCTTGCTGTCTAGTGTACCTGCATGAATCCGGACTATGATGTTGTTGTTTTTCTTTATTAAATCCTATTTGAAAAGTGTATGAAGTAAAATAAAAAGTCAGTGCCAGAACTGCAAAATGTGCTTGCCTAGATGTCAGAAAACCAGTTCTTTGCTTATGTCTTTCTGTATGGCCAGTATGTGCAGGCATTCTTGTGTGTGACCATGGGTACTGCTCTTTGCCTAGTGATATTCAGTATAGTACATTTTGACTCTTGATTATGTTGGCATTCACAGCTCCTTATAGTGTTCCTTGCTTACCTTCTCTAGGTAGAAGAAGAAGCTTTTGCTTGGAATAATGAAGTAAAACAAGGTCTCTCCAGCAGCATCTTTACCAAGGATCTGGGCAGAATCTTTCGCTGGCTTGGGTATGGCTCTTCATATTTTTTTCCTTCTTCATAAAATCTGGGTTTACTTTTTTTCTCTCTTAAATCCGTATGTATAATTTAGTAGAATTTTTTACTTTTTCAAGGTTTAAATCCTCTTTCTAGGGAAGAAACTTGTCTCTCTTTCTTGCCATGAATCTAAAGAGATAATGTCTTATCTTTCTTGTAGGCCTAAAGGATCAGATTGTGGCATTGTGAATGTCAACATTCCAACTAGTGGAGCTGAAATTGGAGGTGCTTTTGGTATGTCACTTGCATTTCCTGCCTTGATACTTTATGTTGTCATTCACCACAGTAAGTAGGACTTAAGGGTTTAACTTTTTCAAAATACAAGGGTTTTTCTTGCAAACCTGTTGTTTGTTTTCTTAGAAAATTATAGTGTCTGGTAGGATTAAGAATTATGAAAGCACTTCAGGGATAGCTTAATCCAAGTCTTCTCATCTCACTTAAATAGGCACATTTTGGCTTTGAAAAATTAAGTGATTGTAAATCAGATGAAATCAGTGGATTTATTTTGGATTTACATTGCTATAGCAGAGAATGGAAATCAGCCAACAGTAAATTTCTGTTCTAGTTAAACATTTTATCTAATAAAAATGTAGTGTCTGAAATATATTTTGTATAAAGAAGTGTAATTTAAAATGTTCAGGTGATGACATCTGAATTAAAAATTACCTTGTGGTTTAAGGCAGGGCTATCCAACTGGTGGCCTCTGGGCTGCATGTGGCCCACAAGAAGTTAGGTTTCAGCCCCCAGGCTCCTGCTCAGCTGCCATGCCCCATCATTTCTACTTCTGCAATAGCAACCAGAATCTCCGGTCTCTTTTCTACACTTTGTATACCCACTGCAGGGAGTAGGACACGGGGTGCAGTGTTGTGTGGTGCACCATGGAGGTGAGGGTGAGCATGGAGGAAGGGGTGGGGTCGGGGGCACATGGTGCAGCGGTGAGAGGGACTGCACCTGTGTGGGCGCATAGTGCAGCAGATGACATGGGGGGCATGAGCACATGGTGCTGGGGGTAGGGATCATTTGTGCCACGTATGGCCCAGGGGCCTGTGTGTGTAGCCCCCTAGCCTGGATGTGCATAGCCTAGATGCGCGTAGCCCTTGGGTCCTTAGAAGTCGGACAGCCCTGGCTTAAGGTACCTTAACCTCTCACTGGGTTGAAAGAAAAGCTTTAAGATCAAAATCCTAATTACTGCATGCAAAAAAGACCTGTGTGAGCAAGCTGATACTTGTTTTCTTAAGGGGGTTTTTGAGATATATATGCAGCTTTTCTTTTATGTCCCCTTCCCTAGGAAAAAGAAATTAGAAAGGAAAAACAGGACACAATATTGTTCTCAGTTAATTTATCATGTTAAAACAATTAACCAATCATTGGCCATACGTGTAATTAAATTGTCAGCTGGAAGGCAGATATTTTCAGACTGAGATATCAATATGGATATAGTGTGAGCAAAGGAGGATAGCCATTATGCATCTACAAACACAACCCTCATTCTCTCCTTAGTACAAATATAACTTATTTGAAGTAGGGGTGCCTGAAGTAACTGCAGAGGAGTTACTAATCCTTAGCTGTATATTTTTTTTTCAGGTGGTGAAAAGCACACTGGTGGTGGAAGAGAATCTGGCAGTGATTCATGGAAACTCTACATGAGACGGTCAACTTGGTGAGAGCTAGGCTTCCATAATTTCATGCAAATAAATGCAGAATTTCTGCATAGACTTGCTAAAGTCCAAAGCTTATAAATCTTCAGTTGCAAGTGCTCATTGTCACTGAACAGAGGATAACCATTGCCAAATGTAACATGCCTTCTCTTTAGGAACAAGAAGGTAGTAGAATTTTGTGGAGTCTAATAAAACACATGCCTCCCCACCCTTGCCTGCAATATATCCCTTTTGATAAAGAGGGGACAGTCCTGATAGCTGTAGAAGGAACTGATTGTTTAAAAATGTACAGCTTAATCTGTTTGAACTTGAACTTGACTGACTAAAATGATGTTGCTGTCATTCAAAGGGAAACCTAAGGTAGCATCACAACTTGGTGGCAACATTTTAAGTAGATATGAAGTATTTCCATAAATTTCCTAGTTCCTAGCCAATGCTGCCACCTGAGCTGCCACATCTTTACTCCTGCTATTTCTTATTTTAGCTAGGTAGTATTTAGCCTAGCGAGGCCTACTCCACCTGCCACCCCTTTATCTTGCTTTGTGGACATTACCTGGTTAAAGGTGACTAGAGGATTATATCTTCTCTCTAATCTATCTAAGACAAGTTACTTATGGAGAGAACAAAGTCCTCCCCTGCGTGTAAATTCTCCAGTAGGGGCTGGAGAGAAATCAGTTCTACCCTGTCTTTTAATTTAAAACAATGAAACTGGCAACTGCCTTAAGGAAGACTTGTACACATGTAACAGAGATCACATAACTGAGCTCCATTATCAAGTCTCATGCCTAAATTCTTGTTTCTCTTTCAGCACAATCAATTACAGCAAGGATTTGCCTTTGGCTCAAGGAATCAAGTTTCATTAACAATGTCATGAATGGGATTGTCCTGAAAATGCATAGCATTTCAGGAGCTTGCACCTTTTAAACTTTACGGTGGAATTGAAATTATACTGCGCAGCTACAGTACTTTTATGCCAGAAAGCCAATTGCAGTAAATCTTGCTTCAGTTTCAGTAATGTATCAAATACTTATGTCAGATAAAATATATGTGATCTTCAGGAAGCAGGATTTGCCTCCAAATGGTGCTGCTTGCACAATCTTCAGATGCCTTTCCTGTGTGTCTACGCAATTTCTGTGCCCTAGCAAGCACTGACTTTGCTGTGGGTGTGGTAGGAACATCCACATTCCTGAAATACATGTTCAGTGTTTAACCAGCATCTGGTCCCATCAGGGATTATAGTACAGGGGCTACTTGTAAATGCATAAATAAAACAGCATTTGAGAGACTCATGGTTCTGACTTTTTTTTTTTTAATGACTTAATTTGGTATAATTTTTGCTTCACTAGCTCCATTTGAGATCCTAGTATTAGAATTGCCGTTAAGCTAGAAAGCACACCTTGGGGACATGCACCACAAGTGGGAATGTACGTTTCCCCGGGGCAGCATTATGTGCCGCTGCTGCTTGTCTCTGGGAAACACCCATGCATTTGTGCTCTGGCATACGGCACATTGCCTTGGGTGGGGTAGGGGAGGCTGGGGCAACCACCTGGGCTGACCTCTGCAGCCTTACCTGGGGTCTGAGGGCCTCCAAGAGCTGCAGCCATGGCAATCTAGCAGCACAGAGCCTGGCCAGGTTAGAGCTGGAGCATGGCTCTGGCCAGCCAGGCTTCAGTTTCTGGCTGCACATCCTGCCACCACGTGCACCACCCTGCTTTAAGATGTGGGGTTTTTTTACCCTGGGATCTCCTGTCAATCCCCCACAAAATCCTTAGGATTGCCTTGTGCCACCCCTGCAACGTAAAAGCTACGTTTTATACTGAGGAATACTCCTATTCCAACTGAGAAATACTCTTCTTTATGGGGAGAAGCATGGTGATTGAAGTGTTGTTCCATCACAGACGTGCGCAGCTGCTGTAGTGACCCTGAGGCCAAGGAGCTCAACTAATTAATCTAGTATATATTATGTGCTAAAGGCCAGTCTTCATTTACTCCAGGTGTAGGGGTCTGCATAATCCCAGAACCTGGTGATACTGTTCAGTTTTGGCTGTGTTTCAGTGCCACAATTTGGCTTGTGACTTATTGTGGATCTATCAGCAAAACTACTGAAGTAACAATGTAGTCAAATCATGTTAGTCACAATCTTGTTTATTGGTTAAGTCTTCTCCTTCATGGTATGCAATAACGTGAGTATATTAAAAAGTAGATTTATACACACAAAATATTTGGTACTGTTCTAACAGGAGAAAATTTTGTAGCAATTTGTAAATGTATTCACATCAACTTCATTTAGTGGTAGTCTATTCTAGTTAGGTCAACGTAGCTTTTTGAATATCCCAGCCTTGGTTTTGAAGTGACTGCTATTTTTACCAGAAAGCATTTTTTCTTCACAATGGTTACTCTAGTGAGAAATGAGAACTGCCTATTGCTGGGGAATTGGGTGATCATTGTTTGATTAAACTGTTCCTTTCCCTTTTTTTTTTATATTTTAAGTATCTTGGAAATGATGCTATGTTAAAAAAACTTTGGGTTTTTTATGTTGTTTTAGCATACAATGTCAGGCTTACAGATGAGGTGGTGTGGGTTAAGAATGGAAACACGTTTTATAGACTCCCCATCTCATTTAATTACTTTTCATTTTTGGATTGCTGTGTATTTGTTAGATAAACTGTCTTTCCTTCCTATTACTGCAATGGTCATGTTAATGAAGAGACCTCTTCAGTCCGGGGTTGTGAGCTGAATAAGCAACTCATTTAATGTGAAACTGAAGCTCCCTGAGATTCTGATGTGGTACGTACCATATCGAGGCTAGTTCAAGTCCCTGGCTTCAAATATTCCAGACTGGTCCATGGAATATGAACAAAAATGGCTTGGACAGTGATTTTATTTTATTTAACTTCTTTTCAATTCACTGTTTGAGATAGATGATAATGGTGACCGAGCTGTTTACTGACAAGTCAGAAGCTATTTTTTTTTAAGAGACTAAGTTTTGGATTTGGGGTATTATAAAGGCCTGCTCCTTTTGTCTTAGTCTTCTCAGAGCTCCTATGGTCTTGCAGGACATGTCTACATGAGACATTGTCACTGTTGCAATGAGCTACAGTGATGTATCTCATTGCTATGGTGACATAGCATCAGCAGGCATGAACCGTGATGCTGATGCTACTGTGCAGTAGTGTCGGAAACGACTCGTGTAGTGCCAGGACTGCACAGTAACGGCGATTACTGTTCAGTCTGGCATGCATGTATATGTGCCTGCAGAAAACTTTTAAAGAGATTTCCAAGCCCTTCAAGAACTTCTGCAGCTATTACTGTACATTGCTGATTAGATTCCATTTATCTTCTTCATAGAGAATAAATAATAGGTATCCATTGTTTACTGTGGCTATAATTTTATCTAGGCTTCTGCTAATGTTATAAAACATGCACCCAAAGCTTATGTTTATGCAATCACTTGAATTCTGAAGTGGGATTATGGTTCAGACCTTGCGTGGACGCACACCTTTTTGGCCACCAAAGTGTTGGTTCTGAAGCTGGTGTGGGGAACATGCCATTTAGAAACCAACTCTAATTGTGGGTATGATAGTTGTTTTTTTTGTTGTGGTTTTTTTTTTGGCATGGAATTAATACCTATAAACAACCATGTTTACGATGAACTAATAAAAGTAAGTGGGTTTAAAGATACCATAAACATGCTGTTTCTTAATTTCTGGTTTAATTATCAAAGTCCATTCAGTACATTGTAAACTGTATTAACTGTCATTTGATTATTGCACCCAGAGGAAGCCAGTTTGAGTACTCATAAAATATGTCCTAGAGCTACTAGTGTGTTACAAAATGTAGCTTACAGTTTTAATACAGCTGCTGTTGGCAGCTTCTGTTGTTGCATAAACTTAATTACCATTGAATGTATAACATCAGTGAATAACAAGTGTTAAATGACACACGATCAATAATTCATTTGTTAGCATGGTATCTTTTACTATGAATGACCTTGCAAGGAAGACAAGGTAAATAACTTCCTCTTTTTTGGCATCTTATCTGTAGCCAATAGAACATACAAATCTTACTATTGACTCTTCTTTTCATATACAGCATAATTGTACCTTCTATATCTAATGATTAGAAAAAATAATAATTGCCTATAAAACCATGGTAAAAAAACGGCTGGTGTCTTTAAATTCTATTGTTTCCTAAAGCAGTTTGTAGTAGTAGAGGAAAAATAACAATTCCGATGCTATCAGTCTGGTTTCAAGTTCAAGAGCTAGTGGATACTACTAGCCAATAGTAAGTCTCAAATTGGATTTTTGCAAATAGCTGCACAGTGATGCTGAACATAAAACAACTTTGAAGGCGTTCATGTCTATGTTCTAGTACAACTAGTTTAGTAATGCCTTCCCTCACAAATTGTTACATCAGGCTTTTTCCTCTATAATATCCCTCTTACAAATCTTATGTTTTGCTTTTGAACACAGCAGGGGTTCAAAACCTTATGGTTACCAGAACTCTAATTTGCTGCTGCTGCTGCTGCCTCTAGCATATGAGCAACAATACAACCTGGATGCTGTTTCAGGACCAATTCTCCACTGTATTTGGTGGGAGTCTTTGCATTAGTTTCAACGAGAGGGTGGGCCCTAAATGGCTGACCATATTAGTGCTCTTTGTCTAGATCATCTGTCTTTGGAATCGTGTTATGATGCTACTGCAGTATGTAGGTCACTAGGCACAGATTGTATGACAGAGTGCTCTTAATGCTGAAAAACTGAGGGTGGAGAGAGAACATGAATTAAGATTTATTTTGGTGTGAAGGTCTTTGTTATCTGAGAGGTTAATTCCATGTGAATGCGATTGCAGAGACCTTTGCAATGGCTCTGACTCAGTGGGTGTGTTTACATGAGATGCTACAGCTCATTGCTACCGCTCAGTAGCATTGCCAGGCACTAACCATGCAGTGATGATACTGCACAGTAGCTTGTTGCTACTGCAAAATAGCATCTGGCAAAAACTGTGTGGTGATGGTACTGCGCAATAATGCCAGTTACTGCAATGTGCAGGTAGTGCATAGTCATTTAGTACTTGCTCTAAATGCATAAGAAAATACGAAATGACTATGCTGTAACAACTACACAGTCTGCCACGTGTGGACGCGGCCAGGAGCTCACAAGTGTGGAGTACAGTCTGCTTGTGTTCCTACATCACTAAAATTTTTGCATAAATGGACTTCTAAGAGTACAAATTACTTCCTTAAGTATAAAGAGATTACACTTTTTTTATTGACAAGCAAAAATGTGCTGAACATTGCAATACATCTGGAAGTTGAACGCTAACTTTGATTAACTGAGTTAATTAGTTTGCAGATCCCAACTGTGCATAACATTTTCTTTCCAGTTATTATTGGCTCCATTTCAGAAATGATCAGTTGAGGGGGCCCACTATAAACAATCTCCAATTTTATCATGAATGTGGAATTACCTACAGAATTTTTTAATGTAAGGTTTTGTAGAGGAGGGGGATAGAGGGAGGAGAAAGTCACCTCTCCCGTACAACATGGACATATTTCAATATGCTGGAGCAAAAGCCAGTGCTTATACAGTGAGAACTTAAAATATATGTATTTAAATAATTTCTTTTTGTGGCCCTCCAGGTGTCGCTGTTGGTCAGAACAAAACCCACTAAACAAGCAGTGTCCTTGCTTTTTAGTTTGCCCTTTTGCCCATGAGGTTGCTATAGAACAGCCTTTGCATTCATTAGGCAGATGGGTAAAACAAGCCTCTCTCTTTTTTAAGACTGCCTTTTATATTTCCACACATCTAGAAACATTACTTAAATGATATATACATTTACTTCATTTCACTTAAGCCTCAGTTGATAAATACAATTCTTATATAAAACACTATCATCCCCTAGTGTCAAAAAGGAATATAGTATTTTTGATTTATTTGCAGTCTAACACCCATCATATGCTAGGGGTGTGTCTACACACACTTTAATGCACAGTAGCCTATTTTACTGTGCATTATAGCATCACGTCTAAAGCCATGCTAATACGTTACTGTGCATTAAGTGTCACTGAAAAAGCATGCGCTTTCACTACTGTGCATTGGGGCAGTCTAATACACATTTAGTAGCTTACATTAGTGGTACTAAACTTAATGCATGGTAGCAAAAGCACATTAACCAGTACCTGCACATTACAGTTTAAGAGCTTTGGAGTCCTCCAAGGTACAAGAGTGCAACTTTTCTAGGAAGAACAAACCAAATTTACTAGATGCCTTACTGCCTCAATTTGGTTTTGTTCCCTTTCATACGGCAAACAGTTTCTCACATAAACTAAATGCTGTGCGACACTGACAAAGTTGCACTCGTGTATCTTGGAGGACTGCAAGTTTCATGATACCTTTTTAAGTTGGTATCGTTTACATGTCCATAGCATCTTTTATCAGGGGATCTCAAAGCTCTTAACAAACTGTAATGAAGTTAGTCTTGCAGTCTCGCTCAGATAAGGTAGCATTATTTCCCTGGACTTAGAGATGGAAAAATAAAGGCAAAAAGGGGTTAATGAACTTGCCAAGATGATACAGAGAGACTGAAAGAGAACCAAGAATAAAATCCAGATCTCTTGTCTCTAAACCCCAAAGGGTTTGTTTAATCTCCATGAACTTTCATGTTCTTTCACCTTTACTCTCTGAAAAAACTGACGAACAGACATGCTTATTGTCAGTATTTGTTTTAGATTAGTCTATAATGATGAAACATTCTGTGCCTAATATATGCCAAGTGCAATTGAGAAGGGTCTGAGCAAGTTCAGTATATATCACTGCTTTGAACTATATTCTTTCCATTACAGAACAGGAAATGCCTTACTAATGAAATGCTTATTTTTCATGAAACATTACTGAAGTACTATAATCAGGGTTATAGAGAGTGCACGTTATCCTGTTGTTGCTGGAATTATCTTTATTATTAAACAGTGCTAATATAATGCCATAAGTATATATAGCCCTTAACATTGACTCAGAATATTAACTCCTTACTTATTCAATGAATATCCCTTTGAAGCCAGTGATACTGCACAAATGACTAAGTGTTCATTAGTGTGAATGAGGGCTCCAAGTGAGGACGGACAGGATCCTTCCTCTGAACTGGATCACAACATAGAAGTAAAATAACAGGCAGGTGTGAAGGAAGAAGCTATGTACAGAGTGACATTATGGCAGTTCAAGAAGATTGCTTTTGCCTGACGGAAAGGAGCTGGATTCAAGTCCCTGAATCGGGAATGGTAAGAGATGGATACTATGAAGTAATGCAACCAATCATGGATGCACATAAAGGAGAGCCAGGGAGAGAGAGATTAAGTTCTTGCTACTTTAACAGCTTTTTAAAATTGTGTATAGTTTATATAGTTTAAGAAGAATTTAAGGGTAAATGGAAAGAAGAAAGTTTATGGGATTATGGGGGGTATTTCAGGAATGGGCATAGAATAGGAAAAGGCAGGGCCCAAAGGAAGGAGGTATAGAGGGAGGTAGATTAGCAAAGCATAGTGTCCAAAACATAAGAGATGGTTGGAGATGTGATTTGGGAGGGGGCATAGCTTTGAAACTGGAGATGAAAAACTTGGAACTAATAAAGAAAGGACAACAAAGGGAATTGAGGAAAGAGGTCAATAGAGCAGAACAGCAAGGTCAGTTTGGCAGCAGTAATTCAGATATTGGAGAGTATGTTGGGAAGCCTTGGAAGAAGATGGGATTAGTGCAGGTGGGAGGTTACCAAAGTATAGACTTGAGAGCAGGGATAGAAAGGAACAGATTCTGGATCTCTTGTAAAAGAAGAAATGATGGGATTTAGCAATATCTGTTACTGGGCAGGGAGAGAAGTCAAGGATGACTCTTGTCACAGCACTAGGAATGGGAAAGATTATGAGATGATCTACTATGAAAAAGGCAGGGACAACTGTTGACAGAATATAAATTTTGTTTTGATATTTTCTAGACAAGAAAAATGGCTGCAATCTTGCTTAGCATGTGGCTCATGTAAAAACTTTCTCTTTGTTTTTGTCAGCTCTGATGTTATAATCCATTTATTTCAAACCTTGCTGCAGCTGTATGTTTGCTAACTTTTGTGCTAGCCAATATTTGTTTAAAATGCTCCAGCATGCATACTGATTGTCATTCACTATTCTGGTTGCTTCTCACTAATTCCTTATTAAACAGTAAATACAGTAAACTAAACAAAGTAGTGCTGAATTTATTCAGGATGGGCTGTTCCAACAGAATGACTGGTACATTGGTTATTACCTGCAATTATTTTGCAAACATCTCTTCGTTAAATTGCCAGTTGGTTTGCTTCCTGCTGTGAAAAATCTGTCCATCCCTTGGACGTTAACCCATTTCCCTGAGCTCTTCTTGTAGTGAGATTGTGGCATCAGTTCATCAGTGAGTGACGGTGGATATTGCAGCTATTCTACTGACTGGTGGTGCATTTTCTCTTGTGGCTGTAGAGACTGGTGTTAGACTTGCAGGTCCTGCCATAGTGGTCACAGGTGTACATAGCACTGTGGGCTACTTTACTGACAGGCTGTTTCCTTTGGTTACATTTCCATTGTAATTCGAGTAACCATGTCTTGTCATGATGTTGAACTCCATGGTTGAGAAGGGTCCACTACTTTGACCTGTCTCTTGCTAAAGTCTCCCCAAAGTAGTCAGATTAAGACATTGGCAAATGAGTGTGACAGGTTCACAAATGCTAAGCAATTTGCCTTGTCCACAGCAAGTCTGTGGTCACGTGGGGAATAGAGCACAGATTTCGTGCCAGAACACTGGTTTAACCACTTGGACAATGCTGCTACTGATGCTGCTTCATCACAAAGCCAGGTTGAACTACCATGAAATCACACTCCTACTTTTTATCCCTGATGACAGGAGATCTGAGGCTGCTCCTGCTGTAGTTAAAGGGAGTTCTGAGATAGACTTACATGAGACAAGACTTCAGTACACTTTTTTTTTTCCCAGAGGATCTGCTGCCTGAAATCTCTCATCTACAGTAACTCTTGCTTGCCTTGAATTGCCTTGCCACAGTGTGACCTTCTTGTAGTGCCTCCCTTCCGTGGTGGAAATGAAGGTGCCTGGTGTAACCTTTCCAAGGTAGCTGTAGTATTGATTGGGATTAGCCTCTGGTTGGGAATGTGAAGGGAGCAGCTCCTGCTGGAACAGAGGTTTCTCAGAGCTCTGAGAACAATGATCCTCTTCTCATTCTCTGGGTTTAGAGTCATCATTAACCCTGATTTACATGAGTAGGAACTATATATACTTGTATGTCAGGCTTTGTAAGTAGACAAAGTTCTTTGGGTGAATCTGGTATCTTTTATTAGACCAACTTAAATAGCTGGAAAAAAACAATTTAACAAGCTTTCGGGTTTAAAAACCCTTCGTCAAAGTGAGGAAGTTTCTGCAGTTGGTGTGTGCTCTTCCTGGATGGAATGAATAGTAACGAAGCCAGAGGCTTCTTTGTCCAACTATTTTTTTCCAACTATTTGAGTTGGTCTAATAAAAGATATCAGATTCCCCCAAAGAACTTTGTCTGCCTATGTCCGTAGACTAACACGGCTACAATCTACGCCCCGGGTTTCATAAGTGAGAGCTGAGAAATAGCCTCCCAAACCCCCCACTGAGCTTAGTGCCTAGAGACTCTCTCCTTTTTGTTTTAACCATCCCTAAAATAGGAATTGCTCTCTGTTGGGAAGGACCTGATAAAAGATTTATAAACTTTAGCAAGGTAAAAAACACCAAGGGCTAGAGACAGAGATTACACATACTCACCAATATGAATGATTGGAAACTGGTTCAAATCTAACACAACAGAGGAACATAGTGACAAGGGAGAAGAACATAGGCTAAACTTACCTCTTTCTCACCATTCTGAATCACTGGTGCCAGAACCAGCCAGTGCCTCCTCCCAGGACCAGAAAGCAGATTTGTTTAAACCTGGCTACTTTTCCAGAGGCATGACAAGCAGTTTTTGTGCCTTGGGCAGTGGCAGTGGCCAAGGTGGTGAATGGTGGCTAGACTGGCAGTATTCAGCAATCATATGCCCCTCTAAGCTGGTGCCAGGGCTCAAACCCTGCCTGCCTGCTACCATAGCCAGGGGTGGATCCAGAGTGGGTGCAGTGGCATACTCACATCACCCTTTCTGACTACACATCAGGAGCAGCGGCTGGGACATTCATAAGTCTCAAAGGTAAGAATTTCTCCCTTTCCCTTCCCTTCCATGCTCAGACATGTCCCCTCCCGCCCCATTTCCCTGTTCCTCACCTGCCAGTGACCCCAGGTGTTAGGGGAGCTCCTGTCTTGCTCCAGGCAGGTGGCATGGGGGCTGGGTTTAACCTGGTGGTGGTGTCAGTGACGGTGGGCAGGTGCCCCTTCTCTGCGTGCCCCGCCCCGTGTTTTCTGCCAGCCTACAACCGGCATAAAGAAAGGGAACCTGCCCACTCGCCCCCACCACTGCCACCATCCTAGGTGGAGCCCAGCCTCTGTGCAGCCTAGCTAGAGTAGGACAGGAGCTTCCCTCCCCCTTGGGACAGCATGGACACTGGTGGCAGCGGGTGAGGGAGGGGAGAAGGGGAGGCGACGTATCTCTGAGAACGGAGGAGAAAGAAAGTGGGGGGATGCTTTCCTTCTTTGGGATTTAACGTCCCCATTTGCTGCTCCCAGGGTGCTGTGTGCCTGTCCCAGTAGGAAGGAGGAGAGGGAGGAGTCTGGGAGTGAGAGGTGCAGCCACCCCTTCAGTGCTGGTCGCTGCTCCTGCACCCCTCTTTATAAAACCCTGGATCCACTTCTGCCTGTCGATTTTTCAACTCAACTTTGCGGGTGAGCAAAGAAGCTGATCCAGTCTTTTTGTCTGTGAAAACTTTGTCTGGTTTGCCCACGAGCAAGAAGAGGCAATGCCCAGGTACCTAAAATGATGTTTATATTGAGTGAACTTCACTGAGAAGTGCTCGGATTGAGATGTGGACTACAGAGCCCCAGGTAAGAATACAGGTCCAATTCCTTGAAGGCCCTTAAATGCCTACCTCCTACTGAAATAAATGTTAGTTATGTGCTTAATATGCATGAGCCACAAGTCCCAAAACATCTAATGCAAAGTCTGTGTTCTTGTGAACTCGTGATTATAAGAACCCCTTATAGTCATGCAAATACTAATTATTTGATGACATTTCTGACTATCTTTATTTGACAGTAGTAGTACTGCAGTCTCTTCTCCCCTCCAAAGGCAACGTTTCTAGGTCTGCTTGGTATGCATCTATTTTCTAACAAGAGACCATATTTTGGTCTCAGGGACCTGGGGGAACTGCCAGCTGTGATGCGAGAAGCAGAGAGCTTTAGCAAGCTGCCTGTCTTCAATTTGCTTGGTAAATTGATTGTTCTGCCTGCCTTACAGAGCATTGCTGTCTCTTTCTTTATTGTTCCCTTTCCCTATCTATTTCTACTCCTTCCTCATTGCACTAGGAGGTTAGTGTGTATATACTGTGAAAGAAACTGACTTCTCAGAGCATTAAGCAAGCCTGTGTACCAACGGGTTCCTAGACAAAGGCTGTTAGCCAGAGCATTCATATAACTGAGAACAGGATGTGCGCACATTCCCGCCTGCCCACAGAGAAATACCTTCATCGCTGTACATTAGAGCCTGTGGCCAGGAGACTTAAAGATCAAAGTTTAGTAACAATGCATCTGAGAGACCTATGGTTAGACTGAATAAAGGACTTTGGCCATAGACATGCAAAGGATATACTTGGAAAACCTCAGCTTTGTTCCTTCCCCTGCCCTCCCCCACAAAGCATAAGCACAAATTGAGGTAACTGCATATTAATACATGGTAATTTTTTTTATTTTTTGGAAAGAGCAGCTTTTTCAGGACAACTCTTTGGTTGTACCCAGTTACCTTGAGTTGGCTACTTGCTTTTGCAGGTTTCTTGTCTCAAGGTGTTTACAGAGCCATGGCTTTCCTGTTTTAATGCAGAGCCAAAGTCAGTGGTTCCCAAACTGTGGGTTGTGACCCCAAATAGCATGGCAATATCATGGATGGGGTTGTGATAAGCAAGGATCTGGGTTTTCTGTTCACTGCAGAAAAATGTGGATTTTTTCTTTTACTGGAGAAAATGCAGGTTTTCTCCTTTAACAGTGTCATGGGTTTCTCCTTTAAAGGAGAAATGTGGGGACATGTGTGCATAAAGCAGGGAGATGTACACACAAGGTATCCCCTTGCAGGCTAGCAAAGTTCAAGCCTGCAAGGGGCTGCTCTTGGCTGGGGGGAGTGGGGGGAAGTGATTGGAGGCAGGGGGCATTACGTGCATGCATGCACATGCAGGTGTCAGCCAAGCAGCAG